GATAACTATCAAAGCTCGATTCCATCAGGATTTATGAAAATGCAGGCAATTTTTTTAAAATTGCAAATTTCCCCAAGTGTATGTACAGTTCGTGTTGACTTGATCCCATGCAGGGGGACATCAAAGAACTCGAAATAGAGTCACTGTTTCAGCTTTGTCTCATTCTCCTCTTCTCCCAGACCTCTGGGCTTCTGACTTCCGGGGGGCTGGCTAGCTAAGTCGGCCCTTGGTCCAGTTATGTAACTGTTGGGGTGGGGCTGTTTCTCCCCATGGTTTCCAACAGAGATCCTCTGGTTATCGCTGGGCGCCCAGATCATCTACATTGGACTTCAGTTCATCAGCTTTCTCCTGCTACTGATGGACTTGCTGCTCACGGGGAACCCAGGCTGCGGGCTCAAGCTGAGCGCTTTCGCCGCCATTTCCTCTGTACTATCAGGTGAGTGACCTCCAAACCAGGAGGGGCACTGGCTGGAGAGCTTGGGTCTTTGTCCTTTAGGGCAGAAAGGAGGAGCCTAAAGCCTGGAAGTAGGAGACACATTGCAGGTACCCTTTTTTTATTAGTATACGTGTGTGATACATGAGAAATATTCATTGTGGGGAATTGCTACGTAGACTTTTCACATCTTGATTGGGCATCTTTCATTTTAAATTGAAATAACACATGAAATTGTTTATTGGATCATTATGTTCTTTACAAAAGGATCTACCTCTAGGTTGTTTTCTTTGCAAGCTTTCCCAGTATGGAAAACCTCTTGATGGTGGCAGCTGCACAGCTTTTCAAGACAGTCTGGGATACAGTGAAAGATGCTGGGAGGAGGGCTAGAGCCGGGGAGGAAGTCAAAGGGACCAGTGGGCCTGGTGCAGCACTCAGAAGTTTGGCCATAGCTCACACAGGAAGTTTGGGGTGACCATGCAAAGACAATGCACTCAAGACATTCCCAGAACAGATCAGTCTCCCGGGAACTGGAGGGAAGGATACAGGAGGCCCCGACAGAGGCTGCCAGGAGGCAGTGGTTCCAAAATCATCTTCCAGCCTTTCCCTAATGCTATGCCTTCCTGTTCCCTCCAAAGGCCTCCTGGGGATGGTGGCCCACATGATGTACTCACAAGTCTTCCAGGCCACTGCTAACTTGGGTCCGGAAGACTGGAGACCACATGCCTGGAATTATGGCTGGGCCTTCTAGTAAGTGAGCATCATTCCCTGAAACATTTACCCTCTTCCCGGCCAACTTTCTCTCGATTTGCTACTCTCAGCTCCACATTCACTTCCCTGTTTTGCTGCTTTCTCTTCATCCTTCTTTCTAGAAGTCTGTCATTAGGACGTCCATTCTTTTCCTGCTTTGAAAGGGGTGTATGGTGGATCCTCTGGCATGCGGCATCATGGTCTTGTCCAGCCCTTCCTTCCTTTCCTTCCTTCCTTCCTTTCCTTGTTTTTGTGGCTTTGGTTTGGTTTTTGTTGCTTTGGCCGGTGGGGGAGGAGGGGTTTCTGA